CTTTGTAAGATTCGCAATTCTAAATATACTTATCACGATCGGATGTCAGGCTACATAACAGTCCTTCCAGCTCCTCTCTGCTCCGACCAATCATCCAATAAGTCAGCCATGCATTAGCCTTCTGTCCTGCAGAAAAACTGCATCTTGCTTTAAGCCTGGACTTGGTTCAGGGAACAATGTCGCGATATCAAAATACCTACTGGTATATCTATCTACCTTAAAGATGGGCATGACGCTAATGTGAATGATTCAGAAGTAAATAGCATGTCTAGTACCAGTCTGGAATTCCAAAGTGGACGCATTCCCTATAATTCAGCAATGCCAACTAAAAGGCAGTCGCTTGTTCAAAGTGTGGAAGAAAGATTGTAGTATATTTCAGGATATAGGATCTCTGGACTATTTCCCTATCAGACATGCGTTCTGTCTGCTCTAGATCAGGTGAGTGAGTGAGAAGAAATCTGATTTTGTTTGTTTGTTTGTTGTTTAACGCCGCACTCAGCAATATTCCAGCTATATAACGGCGGTCTGTAAAATAATCGAGTCTGGACCAGACAATCCAGTGATTGACATCTTGTGCATCGATCCACGCAATTGGAATCGAAGACATGCATCAACCAAGTCAGCGAGCCTGACCTACCGACCCCGTTAGTCGCCTTTTACGACAAGCATAGTCGCCTTTTACGACAAGCATAGTCACCTTTTACGACAAGCATGGGTTGCTGAAGACCTGTTCTACCCCGGAATCTTCACGGGTCTAGAGAAGAAATCTGAAGTGACGAAGGTAATGATAGTTTATTTTTTCAGCTCAGGCTGCTAGTTTCTCGGTCTGCGGTCTGTCAGCATGACCTTACCCATTGGCCTCACAAAAGGTGGCACACGACAAGCGTCACCCCCATCCTCATAATCTGACACGCCGTGATATAACTGAAATACTGTTCAAAGCCACGTTAAACCCATTTAACACACTCACTCATTTTGTTCAATGACATCGCTGTTTTCTAAAGAACACTATTCTATTTCTTGATTTTATGATCAGGTGCACGTAAAACAATGGCTAAAGAAACCCTCACATCACATCTGTAAGAACGACATCGATAAGCTTCATATGTGTGGGGAATCAAATATTCAACAATGGCCGCGAACTAAAACCGTACTCTCAATCTGATTCCGGGATAGAATAGGTCTTCAGCAACCTATACTTGCCGTAAAAAGCGACTATGCTTGTCGCAAAAGGCGACTAACGGGATCTGGTGGTCAGGCTCGCTGACTTGGTTGATGCATGCCATCGATCCAAATTGCGTGGATCGATGCTCGTGATATCAATCACTGGATTGTCTGGTCCAGACTTGATTATTTTTACAGACCGCCGTCATATAGCTGTAATATTGCTGAGTGCGGCGTAAAACAACAAACCAAACCAAAATATTAATGATCTACATGATTGACAACCGATGACATGGTCCAGCTGTTACAATGTTAAACACAAATATACAGAAGCATTACAAGCATTGATCATGATTCTGACAAATAATGTTTAAGCAGTAATACATTCTGGATAACTTTTTGTTTTGAAAATTACGTAAATCATGCAAAGAAAATGATTCATTTTCTATCCTATTCATGGAAAGCTAGGTTACATACTGTACGTTTGTGATCACTTTGGATGTGCACAAAGTGACATCTCTGATAACACTGATTTTTTCTTTTCAATTTTGTTTGTTTCAAAATGAATTTTAATAGCAGTTCCTTGACTGATTTCTACGTACTATCGTGTCTTCCGTGAAGATCCGGCGTAGAATAGGTCTTCAGCAACCCATGCTTGCCGTAAAAGGCGACTATGATTGTCGTAAGAGGCGAATAACGGGATCGGGTGGTCAGGCTCGCTGACTTGGTTGATGCATTCGATCCCGAATGGGTGGATCGATACTCATGATATCAATCACTGGATTATCTGGTCCAGGCTCGATTATTTACAGACCGCCGTCATAAAGTTGGAATATTGCTGAGTGCGGCGTTAAACAACCAACCAACATGATATTAATGACTGGATTGTCTGGTCCAGACTCTTTTATTTACAGACCGCCGTCATAAAGCTGGAATATTGCTGTGTGCGACGTTAAACAACCAACCAACTAACCAACCATCATGATATTAATGACTGGATTGTCTGGTCCAGACTCGGTTATTTACAGACCGTTGTCATAAAGCTGGAATATTACTGTGTGCGAAGTTAAACAACCAACCAACCAGCCAACCAACCAACCATCATGATATTAATGACTGGATTGTCTGGTCCAGACTCGTTTATTTACAGACCGCTGTCATAAAGCTGGAATATTACTGTGTGCGACGTTAAAGAACTAACCAACCAACCATCATGATATTAATGACTGGATTGTCTGGTCCAGACTCGATTATTTACAGACCGTTGTCATAAAGCTGGAATATTGTTGAGTGCGGCGTTAAACAACAAACCAACCAACAAACCACGAGTCTCCGCGGCCTGGAACGTTTCTCCTGAACTTCCTGGCCCAGATTCTTGAACGGCCGCCGCAACATAGCTGGAATATCGATGACCGAACACACTCATGCAGTTACGTAATTTGGGATCCCCTCGGGGATACGGGGTAAGAATTTATCTTGCGAGGGGACTTAAGGTATAGAAGGGTCAGAGTACGTGTCATCGTAAACCGACGCTCATGATATCAATCACTGGCTTGTCTGATCAAGACTCGATAATATCGGACTACTATCATGTAGCTCGAATAGGGCTGTGTCGTTGAAAACAACAAACGTAATTTGGGATAATCCCAAGGCCTGAATATGACCCGTGAAGATCCGGGGTAGAATAGGTCTCCAGTAACCCATACTTGCCGTAAAAGGCGACTATGCTTGTCGTAAGAGGCGACTGACGGCATCTGGTGGTAAGGCTCGCTGACTTGGTTGATGCTCGTCATCGATCCCCATTGCGTGGATCAATGCTCATGATGTCAAACAGACGAATACAAAATAGTCGTAATGTCGGCGCATCCAAAGTAGCAATGTTTAAAAGCGGGTTGGGGTGATTAGAGTACAAGGGATGTTGTGCTAGTGCCCTCCGGCTTTATAGATAAGGCTGGGCGGAAGCAGGTATCTATGCTACGCCTTTTTCTAATTATCTATAAGGAAATAAAGAATAAATTCGTCTACCATATTGATTTGACCGTTATTGTTTGTTGGTTGTAGTGTTTGTGTGTTGTTTAACGCCGAACACAGGAACTGTCCTGCTATATGACGTCGGTCTTTAAGTCATTGAGTCTGGACCAGGCATTCCAGTTATTGAGCATCGATCTACGCAATTGGACCACGATGATATACATAAACCATGTAAGCTGCCTAAAATGAATATGCGAAGAATGAAAGATTTTTTCGAAATGTTGATGCTATGTGAATATGAGGTCTTTGAGGCATTAAGACGTGATACACATGAGGAAGAGAATACATGGATGTCAACTTCTATATTATGAGGGACACAACGTTTGCTTACTCCTTCATAATTGTTAGTTTCTACCCTTTGTTATTTTCCACCTTTTGTTATCTAATTAATTTTGTTGTCCTTAGATGTACATATATATGCTCTCTGCCTCATTGGGGGCGATCGGGTAGCCTAGTGGTTAAAGCGTTCGCTCGTCACGCCGAAGACCCGGGTTCGATTCCCGACATGGGTACAATGTGTGAAGCCCATTTCTGGTGTCCCCCGCCGTGATATTGCTGGAATATTGCTAAAAGCGGCGTAAAACCATACTCACTCACTCACTCACTCTGCCTCATGGCATTCATTCACCTGACGAAGGAGTAAGCGTTGTGTTCCTCATAATAAAGAAGTTGACATCCATATTTTCTCCTCCTCGTGTGAATATGAGTTAAGATAAGACTGAGGTCATAACTCAGCGAATATAAGCGCATTAGATCGAACGTTCAGAGGCCATTAACATTACAAACGAACACGACATCGTAAAATACCGATCTAATTTCTCTGACAGGCATCATTTAAAAATAAATAAAAGATTATTCAATTTCAAACTAAATGAACCACCGAAAGCATTTCCTGTTAACGGATGTCATTCCAGGCAAACGGGTTTTGACGCTTTTATTTCCAAAAGCACATTCATTCCAAATTAGAAAGTATAAAATTCCTTCCCAGGTGTGTCTCTACTGTACAAAAGACATCACAGCAAACAATTTAATCCCATGCCGTCAAAAACAATCCACCAATTGAATTATTATTGGAAAAGAAGTTCAACTCCTGAAAATGACAGAATTAGCGATCACTCTACACATGGACATCTTGAGCGTTGCATTTCATTACACGTTCTTTCAAAGATAGGAAAGAGGGCTTTTGTTCCATGGCTATGTCTTTGTCTGACCGCGTTATGCTTAAGACTGGCTCATGGGTCGCATACAAGTCACAACGATAACTCGAGTACACAGAATTACACCACACAACTGGAAATGCTTTCGAAGCTTAATTAAGTTTGAAGCTGCGTAATCTCTGTTTTACCGTCAAATGATGTTTTCATCCCAAACCAGCCTTTTACCAAAAGTGCGGTTCATGCACATATGAAAAAGTGGCAACGAACGCATAAATTCAATTCACTTTCAAGTTTCATTTTCTATAAAATCTATTCCACAAAAACAGGAGAAGTGCCAAAATGAAACAAACCATTGTACTGCAATATTATAATTTAAAAAACTAAACAACATAGTAAACAAAAATAATTACTGATAACAAGCCATAAATATATATGACTGTACACACCAATCTAAATGAAATGATCAAACATCAGAAAAAATAAATAAATTATTACCTGAAAAAAATAAGAGATTATTGATATTTCTTTTTTATCATTTTTAACCATTTTAAGTTTGTATAATTAGTGTAAGAACTCGTTTCCAGGGATTTCCATATTCAAGAAACAGCCACAAACGACACACGACATTCCATCGCAGTAACAGGAAAACCCCGGATACATCGTACGTGTTTCAGCTGCAGATTGCTAAATACCAGCCGTGATCACTGGGGGAGTACCTCTAACGACAGTCACTGATTATGATAAGGGATTAAGGGCAAATGGTTGACGCGACCCTACACTCTATGCCAACATATGGATCGAGGACAATGAAGTAGCATTTCATTTAATATGCTAAAGTCCAATCGACCAATAACCGCCACTCCCTTGATTGCTTCTTTTAAACGGGACACGATACGTTCAAGATAAATGCATCGACTTATATTTATGACTGGCAGAACGGCGAGAAGACTGGGTGACTGAGAGGTATCCCTCGCTGTTAACAAGCGCGTACATTTCTCTGGATCTTACCATGGCTGCTGCAGCTAGAAACGAAACCGGTGGAAATTCCACAATGTACCATACCATGAGTGTGGAATACTGTAGGAACTACTTGCTAGCATTGATGGGACCTGTAAGGAAAGGTAAGTCATGTTCTACGTAAACCACTTTTGGAACTTTTACTCGTTCTAAACCTCACATCACTAGACATTTACGATTGCTTAAAACATACATGAATTTATACGGCGACCGGTCATTTGTTATTTCAGCTGCCATTTTATCATAAAGATTAATTAACTAGTATCCAATATATTATTTGTTTTTAAGTGTAAACAAAAATAGACACGAAGAATACCATTATCATAAATTATCTTCATTGTTGTTTTGCAGCTGTTGCGTGTGCATGGATGCTTATTGATATCGGTTGCTGTTATGAATAACTTTTAATCTAATAATTTTTCTGAGAATAAATGAACATTTAACTGACAGATGGCAGGTACGTCACGTTCCATTTACGTGCTTCCTGACGATAATATACAAAACTGATCACAAGTCTTTGTCACAATTGTAGATGTACAAGTATAGTAGAATATATACTATACTATTTCCATGTATTAATCTAATGCAATGCTTTACCAGCAACATGGTATATGTTCGGCTGAGTCCTGGGTTTTTACAAAATTTGTAAATGAATTGTTATGAATATTGCAGGAATTGCTGCAATAGAGCAGTGCCTTCATTAACAAACATGACGTCATAATCTATCTAATCCAAATAGTTTCTGCATTAACTCTAAAGATTTCGTTTCACGCTTTTCTTATGAATAACAATACCTTTCACCTATCTTTGTTTTAAAAAAAAATCGCAAATGTGGAGAGAGACTATCGCTTAGTAAATAAGTTGGGCCGCCAGTGGCCCAGTGGTCTAAGGCGCTGTGTTTGTGCCAGGATTCGCTGATCCGTGGGTTTTAATCCCCGATTCTAGGTTTGTAAGAAATACATCATGATTGTGGGCTTCTCTCCAAAGTGATAAATGATTACGGGCTGTATTACTTTGGGCTTTCCTCCTATCATGGATTGGTGTGACTGAAATACCGTTCACAGCTCACTCTCCCACTTAATCAGAGTAAGTGTAGTGTCATTGTGAACAACAGCTACATCACAACATAGGACATGGTGTGAGTGAGTATGGTTTTACACCGCCTTTAGCAATATTCCACCAGGGAACCAGACATCAGCTTCTCACATTGTACACATGTGGGGAATCGAACCCGGGTCTTTGGCGTGACGAGCGAACGCTTTTACCACTGGGCTATCCCAACACCACATGGGACATGGGGCAATCAGTCAGAGTTGACCAATTATGAACGCTGTCAGGATGCTGTTGTCGATGACGAACACAAAAGGCCGATCCACTGCCGGGGATGTGTTATCAAGTTGTCTTCCAATATTCATTTAGGCCATATGAACCTCATATATTCACCTTTTAGTTGAACAAGTACTTTCGACCTTTTGTGCCCAATGGAGATTTGTTCATGACAAGCAAACTGGCATGTCGTATAACAATAGGGACATATTGAATCCACACAATCTGTTTCACTCTCTGCGTATTGTTTACGCAAGGCCAGTGGTATTGACATTCAAGGTTTTCCCGTTGATAGATACTTGTATTGTTTGTTTTAGATATGCGATTGTTACTGACGATTGAGTTATGTATGTTCAACACTTCGCATCTGGTACTCAAAGGCATCTGCAATGGCTTTTGTCCACGAAGTATCATTAATATTCGGAGTACGTGAACTCAAACAGACTCAAACAGACATGGCGTCACTCTGGACATCATTGCTCGACGTCATATTCCTCCGCGCATCACATGCATTACGACCCGTGAAGATCCGGGGTAGAATAGGTCTTCAGCAACCCATGCTTGCCGTGATAGGCGACCATGCTTGTCGTAAAAGGCGACTAACGGGATCGGGTGGTCAGGCTCGCTGACTTGGTTGATGCATGTCATCGATCCCAATGACGTGGATCGATGCTCATGATGTTAATCACTGGATTGTCTGGTCCAGACTCGATTATTTACAGACCGCCGTCATTTAGCTGGAATATTGCTGAGTGCGGCGTTAAACAACCAACCAACCACCCAACATGCAGAGAATGAAATCAACCAATACGAGCTTTCATATTCATCTAAATGATAATACGTGGAAGAGGTGAAGCACATCCGAATGTGCAAACTAGTTTTGTTACTGAGAAAAAAAAGACATTTGTAGAGAAGATGATTCATACCTCGTGGAGTGAGTGAGTGAGTGAGTTAATGCTTTACGTCACATCGGCAATATTCCAGCCATATCGTGACCATACCTCGTGGAAGGCACGGGAGATTTATTGCTGAATGCCGCTTTATACAACAAACCAACCAACCAACCAACTGGCTCTAAGTCTCATGTAACAATTTAATCAAACAACCAGCATATGGCACACCTCATATGTTCTTTATATTAATCATATGTATCGACACGATGCGACTATGATGGATAATAGTTCCAATATCCAGGGGCGGTCGGGTAGCCCAGTGGTTAAAGCGTTCGCTCGTCACGCCGAAGACCCGGGTTCAATTCCCGACATGGGTACACTGGGTGAAGCCCATTTCTGGTGTCCCCTGCCTTGATATTGCTGGAATATTGCTAAAAGCGGCGTAAAACCATACTCACCCACACCCCAATATCCAAATGTCCAAATGTACCTTCTAAGACTAAGCGATCGGCCAGTGTTGGTTTTCATTTCGTAATCTATAAATATCTAGTTGAACTTGAATGCTGAAGGATGTATTGATGGTGATGTCGACCAGATCTGACTTCCGAAATCCACATGTTCCCAGTGGGATATTACAGATGATATCCGATACATTTTGTTTGAGATTGTGTGAGCCAGCTGTTACGATCATGAAATAACAACGTACTGCAAGGCTATAATATTCAATTAATACCCAACCCCCGGTTATAATGTTTGAAGTAAATTGTCGAGTTATTGATTGTGAAACTTCTAGAACTGGAACCTTACCGCGATATATCGTTAAGGACATTGCGATTTGGAAATGATCCAGACAGACTTCAACGGATATGTGTGCCATAGAGTACACGGTACCAAGCCTTCGAATGGGCGTCGAGGCGGTGGGGTTGCCTTGTGAATAAGGCCATTAAGTGTACAAGTATTACCATTTTGTTCATAATATCGTTGTGAATACCCTTACGTTACGTTATACCTGCGACAAATAAATCATCTGTACATCTGACGTATAAAGTATTGATAGTTGATACAAAAACGGGACGGTGGGGTAGCCTCGTTTGAGCGTTCGTTCGTCACGTTGAGGACCCACACGTGCACGATGTGTGAAGCCCATTTCTGGTGCCCCCGCCGTGATATTGCTGGAATATTGCTAAAAGCGACATAAAACCATACTCACTCACTCACTCATTCGAGTGGGCGTCGTTAGGGGCGGTGGGGTAGCCCAGTGGTTAAAGCGTTCGCTCGTCACGCTGAGGACCCGGGTTCGATTTTCCACATGGGTATATTGTGCGAACCCAATTTTCTGGTGCCCCCGCCGTGATATTGCTGGAATATTGCTAAAAGCGGCGTAAAACCATACTCACTCAGTCACTCATTCGAGTGGGCGTCGTTAGGGGCGGTGGGGTAGCCCAGTTCGATTTCCTACATGTGCACGATGTGTGAAGCCCATTTCTGGTGCCCCCGCCGTGATATTGCTGGAATATTGCTAAAAGCGGCGTAAAACCATACTCACTCAGTCACTCATTCGAGTGGGCGTCGTTAGGGGCGGTGGGGTAGCCCACTGGTTAAAGCGTTCCCTCAATCACGCTGTGTGAAGCTCATTATTGGTGTCCCCGCCGTGTCTTTGCTGGAGTATTGCTAAACATGGCGTAAAGCCATACTCACTCACTCACTCGAGTGGGCTTCACTTTTATTTTACGTTTACATGTTCGAAAAATAATTTGCAAATCATGATGCAATTTATGGTTTTGTTGATGTTTATGTTATGATAATGAAAGAGCAAGTTCCTATTCAACATTTACAGAACTGACGGTGAAGTGAAACTGATGATATTGTTATGCTCAAATGTTTCATAAATTGTTTTTAAATATAGTATGAATGAATCGATTTTAAATATTCCTTTGCTTAAATGACTCAATTGTTAACATATGAAACTTCGTCTCGTCGCTATATGGCTGAAATAATGCCGATGCGACGTTAAATTTTAACTCACTCACTCACTCACCGAAACCGTCACGTGGGACCGTAGAGGATCAGACATAGTGACGTCACACCTGAAAACACTGATTACCTTTCCAAAAGACAATTTTCTCGTCAGCATGGACACGTCTGATAAGGTTTTATTTATCCTCTCAGCGAGATGGATGGTCGTTTAATGGGTTTTTTTCAGAAATTATGTCCAAGAAACTGTCAGATTAATCCCATTTGCATTAACCTGATAATGCGATTTGTCAAATGGAAACCATGATACGTTTTATACTTGATGCTGCGATACACCGTTTCTGACGAACGTATTACAAATACTTTGTTGATGTAAACACTGGGACGAGTTTAGTGATTGGACTTTCGGCAACACTTCACGGGTTTGTGTACACTGCGTATACGTTTTTCTTTCACCTGTGAATAATCCATTAATATTTTTAAATAAAAGCGAGAAACTCATTTCCATGATAATATAAAATATCTATTTACAACAGAATCATGAATCACCATCAAATAGTCAGCATTCAGGGTGTTCGCGAAAAGGTGAGCTCATCATGCCCCACCGGTGGCACACGTCACAAACGCATGCAAGGGAAAGTCAATTGTTCACCTGACAAAACACGGGACATATGGTAAGCATGGGTTGCTGAAGATCTATATAAGGGAATGGTTCTCGCTTGAGATGTGCTGCACACATTGCTTCAATGTCAGGCAATAGTAGGGTTCACACACAAAGTTCATACACAGAGTAGGGCACACTCGACTTCCGTGAGAAGCACGGACTACTTTCACCAGCTGACTAAACTTAGAAACACCTCACCACTACACCGCATATTGTACAAATGTCTTTACGGGTGATGAGTAAACAT